AAAGTAGGGGCGCAGGTGGCTTCCACAGGACACTGGAAGGGGCAGTATCTGTGGCCTTTTGGTAGGATCCCAATTCGTCGGTCATCCGACGTGACGTCGAGAGTGACCGACTGAAAGGGAACTACATTTTTGAATCTACTTTTCTATGAAAAACAAACATAAAAGCAAGTGAGAAAAAGACAGACAGATCCAGACCATTTTATGTAAGCAAAGATGCTGGAGGAGAAACTGTCCATGCTGGTAGAGCAGAAGCTGTCGTGGATCGAGTGTTTCAGAGCTCACTTGAATCAGCTCTCCCTCACACTCCCACTGGGCATCCATGAAATCCACGAATGACCGGCCTGCACTTGAATGCTTGTACCAACACACCATTTGTGTCATGTGTCTCACTTTGATCACTCTGCATCTTTGCCAAATTTAACAAAAAATAAAGCTGTTAATTAATTACATCGTCACATGAGTATTAAGTTATAACATAGCCCCTTAACCTTAAGAAGCTGCTAAAAATAAAGCTCAAGTTATATTCCCACACTGACATGTACGTGATGGTTCTCATGGCTTTAAGTCATCTGTTGCTACACTAATGACTTTGCAGATCTGACGAGTCCAGATTGCACGTTTCAGTGGTGATAATTAGAGCCTGACCCGAGGGCTGGATCTTGAGAAGGCCTCTGTCTCTGGCACTATCCCTGAGCTGCTGCTCCACTTCCTTCATCAGCTGGAAGAGAGGAGATAGCGCTACTAGTCTGGACCAGTCCTCCTCTGCAACACCAACACCAAAGATTAAAATAAATGCTGTTCATTTCAACTTTCTATTCATCAAAGAATCCTGAAATCCTGAATCACAAAATTATTAAGCAGCACACCTGTTTTCAACATTGATAATAAGAAATCAGAATCAGTATTTATCTGCCACAAAAACACTTATGGATCTCAATAAAAGTGACAGATTTTGATGAACATTAATGAACCAAATATTATATTATTTTGTACATTTGTTGTAAAAAATACTTTAAATAATATTATTTTGTAGTGTATCGCTATAGCAAAATAAACTGTAAAATGTTAGTTTAACACAGTTTAACCAGAAACCAGCTTTCTGTTGGTCAACGTGGCGAATCAGAGTGACTAACCTGAACCCGATGCAACATCTACATGGGGAATCTTTCGCCCTGGATTAATTTAGAAATGAATGGATTTTACATCTGAAAACTGGCCGAACAACAGTAAATGTGACTGCACCTTAAGTCTGAATGCTTTGAAAAGGTAACAACGCACTGCTCCCCAGTAAACAGCATGATTTAAGGTGTAATTCATGTCTGTAGAAAAAAATGGCAGCATTGCAGTACTCGAGTCCGGACATTACTTTCATAGTTACACTAATTGTTACATTTTAAATAGGGTAACTTGTAATCTCTGTAACCCATTACATTTCCAAAGTAACCTTCCCAAAACATTTGCATCAACGTTCTCCTGTAGTTCAAATGTGACCTTCAAGGTTAAAAGAACCTACGAGTCCTAAACACACACTGTTCAGCTTAAAGCTCTCAAGAAAAATGCTCTGACCTGCTAGCTGTGGGATACTGATGTGTGCGGACAGACCAGGTTCCTGGAGAGATTGGACATCTGTATGGAACAAGAGAGAACATCATGTTGTGATCTGAAATGAGGATGCTGGTAACATCTCTGACTTAAGACAGCCTCACCCTGGCTGTGGATCAGCTGCGTTTTTTCCTGGCTTTTCTTTGTGTAAGATGGGTTTGACAGAGGAAGAGAGGGCACCGTGGCATTCTGTTCACTCGCAAATGGAGCCTTCATTTGATCTTTAAAGGAATGAGTTGAGACACCTGGCGCAGCAGGAGAGACAAACACAGCGGTGAAATTCTACAGGCTGACAACCAGAATCTCACTATTTATTCTCCTTGCATTCAAAAGTACCTTTTACAACAGACACAGATTCGGTCCACACTCTGGAAGTGCTGTCTTGGCCGAACGCCTGCTTCCCTTTTAAGAAACATTTCGCAACCATTTTCATGAACATTTCGACAAAAGCATGACTAACGTTTCTATAATAAGACATAAATGAAGATATTGTACCAGAGCTCTTCTGCCGCTGCGTGCTGGTCGACTGGCCAAGTGCTTTGGTTTCCTCCAACAGCTGAATAAGTCGTTCAAGTCGAGGAAGGATTTTCTGCTGAGTCATGGCTATTACTTTCAGAGGGTTTCTGACACCCTTGGGCTGCAGCACACCAAAATCCTTATACCAGAATGTGCCAGAAACCAAAGACTAGAGGAAACGAATCCATTCAGTAGACTGTCAGAGGAAAAGGTGAAATAAAGTCTGCTAAAGAGTTCCTAATTGTACCAAACAGATACAGAACAGCTCTAAGGTAAACCAAGGACATCACTACAGAATTATCAGTCAGTGTCATGAGTATATATTGCACGTCTGGCCTCCGGCACGTGTTACCTGTGCAGTGTCAGCACGCAGCTGGCAGACCTGACGAGCACAGAGGAGAGACGAAAGCACAGCATCCAGCTCTGCTTGTCTCTGCATTAATTGCTCCCACAGTTCCTGCACCCTCAGTTCCCCATCCTGTGATAATCACAAGACACTGTGTTATTCATCCCAGACCACACTCCATCAAACTGGAAAATGGCTAGTGCAGAGGCAGAATATTGGCAATTGCACCAATAGCCACGTAAAGGATATCAAGCTTCCAATGCATTGATCTGCTCATTCAGCTGTTTAACGACGTAGTAATCAGCTCAACAGCATTGTATCTTTCTGTCTGAGGGCGAGAGTGTGTTTTTATGTTTCAAAGGGAAAACAAGCTGACCAGATGGTGTGTTTCCTGTGCCGACAGCCGATCCTGGTCCCTCCGCAGTCTCTCCATGGACACACTCACTCGGTTTAGCACGGCCTTAAGCTCGGTGTGCCAGTAACACTGCTGCTCCCACTCCTACTCGTCTCCTTAAAGGAAGAGTTCACAGAGACGAAAACTTTGTCGTTTTTATTCACTATCATGTCATTCCAAACCCTAAAGTGGTGAAACAAAATTGAGGACAAAACATTTTTTTCCAAACAATGACAGTTAATAGTCACATCTGTTAAAGTCGGCATGAAACAGAAGATGCGACTGTCTTTTCTTCTGTATTGTGGTGTATTTCCGAGTGAAACTGCTTCTTAAATGAGATCAAATGTAGAGCAGGATTTAATTTTGTCAATCAGAAAATGACTGGATCATTCGATTGCTGTCGTTTGCTATTGCTGTGATCTCATTTGAGTGACAGTTTGTCCCGCCCTCACGGCAGAACGTATGTTATCAGGGAAGAGATGTTGCTGCAAGAGGGAGGGGAAGTTATTTTGATTACGAAGGCACATTAATTAAAAAAAATAATGTGCATGGATAATTCATTTATAATAAACACTGCAATATTCCATAAAAAAATAAGAATTGACAATTTTGATTTCATGATGACTTCAAGCCAACAAACTCTCAGGGCAATTTGTAACTATGCTACAGTTTGGCAAATTGTTGGCTAATTCATATGAATTTGTATATTCTCATCCATACATTTTCTTACTGTCTGCTTATGCCCTAGTGATGGTTAGAATCGGATCAGTGAAGGAATCATTATTTTGAACCGATTTGTGATCCTGAACTTGTTTACAAATCAGACTAAACTATTTGATCGCAACTGTTGAAAAAATTATATTGATTTGTTCACAAATCAGAGTATGACTCAGTGGTTCAGAGCTTTGATTCTTAAAGGGGTCATATGATGCGATTTCAAGTTTTCCTTTCTCTTTGGAGTGTTGCAAGCTGTTCGTGAATAGATAAGATCCCTTAAGTTGCAAAGACTAAAGTCTCAAATCCAAAGAGATATTCTTAATAAAAGTTAAGACTAGTCCACGCCCTCCTAAAATGCCTCGTTTAAACACACCCCCACAGTCTACGTCAATGTGTGGGAAGATTTGCATAATGCCGCCCAAATGTTCACGCAAAGAAAGAAGGTGTAACTTTGATTCTCGCTGTAGTATTGTTGCCGCCGCCGCCATGTCGTGGAGATGCTGTGTGTTTCGTTATGAAAGAGAAACTACTTTGTTTGGCCTTCCAAAGAGGACACAACTAGAAATCAGTTGTTAAGTTGTATTTACAACACTGTTCCAGAACAGTTCAACCCAAATATTCAGATGTGAGCAACGCACTTTACGGAGGACGAGGATTGTTTCCTGGAAGAGTAGCCTACAATGCCGTGTTCTGACAAATAATGCTGACTCACAGCCTGTAAGTACGCTTTCATATTTAAAGGATTTGCCACTGATGATTCAAACGCGAGTTTTGAGCAGTGTAGAGTAGCACTTGTTGTTTGTCGTTTCTCCGATCACAAATGCAGACATGGTTTTATGTTTACATGGCGCGATGCAACGCAACGCGTAAAAAGACAGTATAAGTCATTATATTCAGGACTTATGTCCCCACTGGATGCAACAAATGCCTCGTTTATAATGGATTTTAATGTTTTTGTCTCGTCGCTCCGGCCTGACAGGGCATCACAGTATGGTAAGGGGCGTAACATTTCAGTCACACGCTTGAGGTATTCAGCCAATCACAACGCACTGGATAGCTGGATAGCTGGCCAATCACCGTACACCTCGCTTTTCAGAACGATGAGCTTTGTAAAAATCGACGCATTTCAGAAAGGTGGGGCATAGAGGAGAAACAATAATGTACAGTATGTGGAAAATAATGTGTTTTATTAACCTTAAACCGCATAAACACATTTCATTACACCAAATACACAAAATAATGTTCTTTTTTAGCAACGTCATATGACCCCTTTAATAACTACTAGTAACCAGCAAATTAGGAGTTAATTGAGGCAGAAGTCATAGTTTATAGTTAGTTAACAGTGAGAACTTAAAATAAAGTGTGACCAGAAATTCTGTTCTTTTCAACATTCTATACATCAAAGAATCTTTAAAAAAGAAGTATCATGGTTTCCACCTTTCCAACTGTTGCACAACATTGATAATAATAATAAATGTTTCTTAAGCAGCATATTAAAATGATTTCTGAGGGATCATGTGACACTAGAGTAATGATGCTGAAAATTTTGACTGCTCTAAAATATGAAACTCCAATGTTTCAGGAGTTTAGAACATGCTTATTCGATAACTCTTTTATTTCCTATATGGGTTTATTCATGAATGGTCTGCAAAATACTTTGGTTAAAATTCCTCAGTGGTCGTGTAAAACAACACCTTTTTTACCTTGCTCTGTTCACAGCGACTCATTTTGGGGCATGTCCCTTTAAATGCTAATGAGCTCTGCTCACCCGCCCCTTTCTTTGTGGAAGAGTATGGAGTCAATATAATGCCACATATATATGCAAAATAATAAAGTTTTGCAAAAGAAAATAAAGTTTTGCAAACGAA